CTCAGTAATTTCTTATAAATCTGAGCATAATCTTTGTGGGTGAAAGGGGCCCAAGTTTAAAAAAGAAGTATGTCCAATAAAAAGGAAATGATTAAAATTAAGGAAAAATCTGAGAAGTCCATAAAAATTAAAGTAATCTTCTCGAACACCAATGGGTGAGGAGAGACGTGAATGTATACTTTTAATGGCGTCATTGAATTGTTTCTTATTTTTGCGTATATCTGAATATTTTGTTCAAATTTGTCTACGAGGCTAGGTAGGAAGCACAATGATATAAAAAAAGTTACTTCAGTACGTATGAGTATTTGAATATCGCTTGAAAAGTGTCCAAGTAAGATTTCCGAATAGAGTGTTCAGATCTTCTGGTCCGATTCAAAAGAAATAAAACAAAAATCATTCAAATATTCTGTCAAATATATTTTCAACATAAATCAAACAAAATAAAAAAAGTATCCAACCCTTGGCAACAAAGTTTTTCATTGCACACAAGATTATAATTCAGAAGGTAGATTGTCCAAACACCTTTTCTGTATAAATTCCCTCATTGAGCGGTACTCGAAATATTTGATCGTGGACACGCCACTTAAAATAAAGTGTCCGATTGAGACCGTAAGAGGCTGTCCCGCGTGTGAAGTGGCCACATGTCTTGGCTAGTTATACCATAATTGAAAGGGACGAGGGTGCACTTGTTAAAAATTTCAAATTTCATGTATGTGGAAAAAATGCATATTTTACAAGTTGAATGTTTTTGTGTTTGGCCCAAACTCGTGTGAAAAAATATGAAGAAATAATATATTTTCCATATGGTGACATATATCACAGGAACATCAATTAAAACAGGGTACTTAAGTGTTTATCAAAGGTTTTTCTCGACATTGCACCTGAAGTTGATATAAACTATTTTCAACAAATTTCGATTGGTATAAAAAAAAAACAACTTGAACGGCAATACCCACACTTAATATTTAATGAGAAAAGTTCAAATAATTTGAAGAAAAAAAAATTCTATAACCAAGACCAAAGTTTTTCTTGTACAACAAGAGAAATCAAATTCTTGGAGAATGACACCTCATTTTAATTACCTGCTCGTTTAAAAAATACTGATATTCACGTAACAAGATGCTAATCAGCTACTTCACATTCGATAAGATTTTAAAATAAAAGCTTTAAAACGTTAATAAGAGTTAAGGCTTAAAAGGGGTAAAAAAAATATATAAAAGAACAGAAATCAATCGACAGGAGAGAATTCAATATAACGATATCCTGGCCTCACTCCAGAAGAAGCTATCGAAAATCCTTTAATCTCAATAGCTTGTCGATTTACAAGGCTTTGGCGTCGTTTTCGCACCTGGGTCGCGCAATGTCAACACACCGAGATTGAATTAATAAGACGTATTGTTCAAAAGATTCCAACTTTTAAAAGATTTAACAGCTCCTAATTCAATTTCTCAGTATTGAAATCTTATGTTGACATTAAGGATTCCTTTTAAGGTTTGGAAAAAAAGAATAATTCTTATTTCATTTATAGTGGACAGGGAGAAAAATGATTTGAAAGAAATTGAATTTGTTGAAAAACCAATTAAACTGGGTGTTGAGAATTTCGGATGAGTCGCCTTTGAGAAGATTAGAGATTGTTAAGCCGGCCTCGAAACACAGACACTTTAACACGTGTTCAAGATGCTCCCAATTAGCACTCAAGTACACCAAGAGTGCAAAGAGGAGCAACTCCACGATACAAAATTTAGAAGAAAAAAAGACACACAATAGAAAATTCTTAAATGGTGATTCGGATGTGAATTTTATTTTTCCCAGTCGAAGGATACTGTCTGATGATTACAGAAAGAATGAGACAATGGTCTTTTTTCCCTAGTCAAGAATACAATCCAATATAGTATGCATGTTACAAAGCGTGACATGGTATGGTAGAGTTTATGTATATAGGTGTGGTACGTCTTTATATATAGACTAAACGTGGTTTTTCTTAGCCTGAAAACAACCCCATGTGTCAGGATCATTATTACAGCATAACAACTTTTAAGTGTATTTAAAGAACATTCAAAATTTTTAAAATTTATTTTACATTTAACAATCCGGAAGACAAGCCCCTATGTTTTGAGATGGGTCATTCCATGCTTATCAAATAACACAGGATAAATATAAAAATTCATCTTTTTTTCCTTAAAAATTTATTTGATTGAATTGTATAATGTTTTACGTCCCATTTGAGAATATTTCACTCATACAGAGACGTCACCAAACAACCATGGAGGGCTTCAAATTTTAATATTACTCGGCACTTACGACCATTGAGCAATGAGGGATCTTTATCTTGTCAAGGTCTACCGTGACACGCTGCGGGCCCTCTGTTTTTAAGGTCTCATCCAAATGACCGCAAACTTTACTTCAATTTTAAGGTGCCGAGCGCATTGGACAAGAACAGTTGCTATCCATTTTATCGGCATTTGTCAGTCGCAGCAGTAACTCGAACTCATGACCGTCTGAACAAGGAGCCCTTCAACCCATTTTTCTCTTTTGAACACCTGCTTCTATCTCTTCCTAAAGCAACATCCCCTGAGGAGGAATTCTCTGAAGGGTTTATAATTTCGCTTCTAGTGAGGACTTGGGGTGTAGTTTTTATGGCACGTTTTATTTTATTTTTTTGCCTAGGTTCGATATAGAAGTTTAATCTTTTAATTATGTATCCCCCCTCTCGTCGCTCGCGTGGTGCAGTGGTTAGAGCGTCTGCTCTAGAGTTGTGGAGATGATACTTACGTTGCGGGTTCGAATCCCACTGTGGGACGTGGAGACCGGCCCTTCAGATGAGACCATATAAACCGAGGTCCCGTGTCGCATCCTCAGCTTGTGTAGATTCAAATTTACTTACAGCATCCCCCATCCCTCCGGATGGGGTGGGAAGGAGCTAAAGTATGTGATCAAAGTCACACAAAGAAATAGATGGGGAAATTCGATCTCTGTTGAAGAATATCAGAACCATACTCGTGAGTGATGTGGCACATGGGCCTCTTGATTTAAAATGATGGGTATAAAAGTAGGAAGACAGCTTCCGTATCATGAGCATAAAATTTCAATTGTTACATGTTACAAGGAGGAAAGAAATGTCCCAGCTGGTAATCCATACTTTGAGGAATGATTTGAGATGAATTTGTCATGGTCCATTGAATTAAAAACTTAAAAATACAAATTTTGTGAGACCAAAGAATCGGAACAGATCGGGAATGGGAAAAAAAGGGGGGGTGTAGAGGTGCACTCAGACAACAAGTTTTTTTTTAAAATTCAAATTCATGTTTTATAAAAAGTAAGTTATTATATTATATACATATATACAAATTTTATGCTAGAAACGAACTGTAATCCAGCATTGGTGTTTTTGCTTTTATATGTTTGACAATTAATGTATTGGAATAAAGGAATAATTTAAACTGTGTCATACTTGATAAAGATTTGCACAATTCTATTGCAAGATATGACTCAATTGCACATACAATTTAATCAAGCGCTATTTAAAATGTAAAAGATTTGACAACAGAATAAAGAAGGACAACTCTTAAATGTTTTTAAAAATTACTCCTTTTATTCTTATGTAGATATTGCATGCAACTAGTCTAAAAAGTACTAATTGTGTCAAACATGTGTCATACAACACATACAATTTAATCAAGCGCTATTTTTGACAACAGAATAAAGAAGGACAACTCTTAAATGTTTTTAAAAATTACTCCATGAATTGATACATTCCTTTTATTCTTATGTACATGTAGATATTGCATGAACCTTTGTAAACAACTAACATACAACACTAAATATCAAAAATATAAAAATAAAGTATAAGATTTTCTTCTTTGCATTGCTTTGTGACATATTTCAATTGTAATTTACAAATAATGGAATTATGACAAAAATTATAGACAATTTCATACCCAAAATTTACATTACTTTTCATTTGCAATTTAAAGATATTTTGATTAAAAATTACCTGACTCTCCCAGTTTTAAAATTGTCTTCATATTGTAAGAGGGGGTAAAAGTGTGAAACTGTCCCTATTGTTTGTAATTCTTTGTAATGAATTTACAGAATTGTGTATCAATATTTTTCAGCAAGTGAACACCAGATGAGATACTCTGCATGTTTTTATCGTGATAATATTAATATATATTTATATCAAATAAATTTTTTTCTCTGTGAAATTATCTTCTTGATTGTCATAATTATAACAAAAAGATAGACAATTTCATACCTAAAATTTACAATACTTTTCATTTGCTTTTTAAAGATATTTTGATTAAAAATTACTTGACTCTCCCAGTTTTAAAATTGTCTTCATGTAGGGGTGAAACGGTTCACCGCGGTATCGGTTCACCGCGGTATTTTTTCTCGGCTCAATACACGATACAAAATCTCTACTTTCGGTTCGGTCGTTTGTGTCTGAAGCTAAGGGGTTTGGCAAAATGTATGTAACATCTTTCAGTTCTCTGTGTTAAAAAACGTAAACTTTTGTGGACTTAAAGTTTGTAAAATGATTTTTAACAGTAAAATCAATTAAGGTGATTTATTCTATCTATTTTGCACATACAATCTTTGACTTGATTAAGTAAAAAGAAGGATAAAACAACAGTTGAATTTGTTTCCTTCTATCAAAATGTATCGTATCGAAATTAACCGAACCGAGACCAAATTTTTCGATACGTATCGAACCGTGAAGGAGGCGTATCGTTTCACCCCTATCTTCATGTTGTAAAAGTGGAGACAAGTGTGAAACCATCCCTATTGTTTGTAATTCTTTGTATATAAATTTACAGAATTGCATGTGTATCAATATTTTTCAGCGAGTGAACACCAGATGAGATAATCTGCATGTTTTCTTTATATTGTGATAAAATTAATACAAATATTTATATCAAATAAATGTTAATAAAATAAATTTGACATATATATGAAATTTCTCACTTCTTGATTAACAACATAAAACACATAGTTATATAAATGTTCATTGTTTTAATATATACAACTGTGGTGTAAAAAAAAAAAAAGAAGAAAAGAAATACAACAACAAAAAAATGACTGAAATGAAAATAAAGTCTTAATTAGATATATTAATTATCTATTCTATCACAATGTCAGGAGCCTTTACTTTTTATATTACTGTCTTTCTTATTTTTATGCTCCTGGGATCGTTCAAACTGTAAAGAGAAAAGAGCAAATGACAGCAGACAAAAAAATAACAGCAATTTTTACTATACATAAACTATATACAGTTTTGTAAATCGGTTATGTTTCAGATATATCAATGTTTTATTCATTTTTGTAAAATTTTGAATTCAACACCCCCCCCCCCCCCCAAAAAAAATATTCAGATTATCTAATTGGGTCTTATTATTTCATTTTTCTTTTTATAATGACAAAATATCTTATGCTATCAAAAAAAAGCAAAAATGAAACTAACCCCCCCCCCCCCCCTTCAAAAAAAAGGAAAAAAAGAAACATTGACAATGTCTATACCTACAAAGAGAAAAATGATATCAGTTATTTTGGGTCTTGATCAGCTAGAACACATCTTTTTTTTTACTTACCCCAACTTCCAGTCTCTTCTTAACATCCTCCCAGTGAAGTTTATCTTGTGTCAATCCAAAATGATTTAAAAATATACAATAGGCACCACCATAAAGCAACCTAAATTTGGGGAAAAACAAATCAATATATCATTAATCTACACTTATAATAAAGGAATAAAGGACAAGTGCACTTACACAATGCTTAATGGGCCCTTTTTATGTGCCATTTTACTTTAGAATATATAACTAAATCGTTCTCTTTTGGTATATTCTCTAGTTAAATCTTAGATATTTCATAAAACCATTATAGGTACATTCATTTATGCATACATTGTACATTTATGTATTATGAAAGTGAAGAAAATAATTTTTTTTTCTTTTTTGTATCAATTTAAATTCTTTTAATTCTGCAGAATTGGACAATCAAAGACAAAATTGTTTACAATTGTTACTCTCATACAGGTATATATACAACATAATATTAGTAATTACCCCATAATACCAGCTATTGTGCCGCCAGAGACCATGGCCCGCACACCGTAGCTGAATTTATTCAGTGCCCCTGCTGCAGCTGTAAATGTCAGAGATTCATTTGTCATCAATCAAGGGATTCAAAATGTTTCATTACTGTTTGAAATAATTCCAGTAGTACTTAACAATTAGTTTAATTCTTAACAAACAAAATCTCTATTTCGGTATAATTTTTCGGTCGAGATTCTTCTTTGGCACAAGGTATAAACATGCTTTCAGTTCTCTGTGTTAAAAAACGTAAACTTTTGTGGACTTAAAGTTTTTTTTTTAACAGTAAAATCAATTAATGCTTCTATTTTGCAACTTTACATTGATAAAAAGAAGTACATTTTCTTCACTTATCCAATTCACCCTTTTTCAGTACTTGACCTCCCCCTGCAACTGGGTCCATAATACAGCTAGGAAAAACATTGACTTATTGTTTTTCATATTTTAAGTAGCTAAACTCTGATTCACACAAGTTTTAAAAATGTATTAATCTTTTGTCATATTGCACAATTTTCTATGGTGCAATGTTTTATTTACTGAACTACTCTTAATGTCCTTTTTTATGCAGAAGTTCTTATATATTTTGCAATTTTTGGCTGAAAGTCACAGTTGAATGTTTATATTTCACATTTTACTGGGGCCCATAAGTGCACTCGTTCTTTAGAATTTCCAATTCATCCCCTACTGAAAAATTGGTATATTCTCTCGTTTAAATTTACATGTATCTTAGTCCTGTCAATAAAACCAGAAATTTTATATTTCATGGAATTATGTATTATGAAAGTGGAAAAAATTTTTTTTTCTTTTTTGTATCAATTTAAATTCTTTTTTAGAATTGGACAATTTGTGTGAATTGTTACTCTCATGTGTATATACACACAGCTACTGTGCCCCCAGAGACCATGGCCCGTACATAATTTCATTAAGCGCGCTGCAGCTGTAAATATCTTCATTTGTCAAATCAAGGGATTCAAAATGTTTCATTACTGTGTGTGATTCACACACTTAACTATTAGTTCAAATCTTACCAACTAAAAACATCATGAGATTATATTTACATTCTTTTTCTGTTTTTTTTTTTTAAGGCAAACTAAAATATACTCAATATTTGAATACTTCCTCCCTGCCCTATATTGTTGCATTTTACTAACGTCGCTGCAAAACTCATTAAAAATCTTTTATGTGAATGTTTCATTTACGTTAACGCACGTTTCTTCGTGTATATTTTTGGCTAAAGTCACAGTGATTATACACAAAAATGTTTTTCAAATCAATTTCACAATTAAAATTGTTATTTCATGAATTAAACACAGCGAATGTAAATATTTATAATTGCTGAATATAATATTCAACCAAACAACTAGGAATTGACTATTCTACCTTTCATTTGTTGTCACAGAGTATAATATGCAATAATGTCTTGTGAAAAATCTAACAGTTTAAATTTGAGAAGCAAACACATGCAACAATAATGAAAAAAATACTCACAAGATACATGTAAAAAATCCACCAAATTTAAATGCTGCTCTACCAGCTGTCCTCATTACATCCAGTGTGATAACATCATACTTATACCTCTGAAAAAGATAAGTAGCATTATCATGAAAATGCAAAACACTCTCTGAAGATTTATTTACAGTACTGAAATTTACAGTTGTCAAGTATGAATGCAGTATTCAAATTTATTTATCAAAATGCATTTTTGGTTATCACTTTTGATTTTGATTTTTTTTCTTCATAAAAAATTACTCTGGTCCATATAAAATCAACATAATTCAAATTGTCAATATAAAATCAACTTTTCTTTGCAAAGTAATTTTTGAAACTGTATATTTTCTCACAGCCACGACATTCCATATCTCTGTTACATGTAAAATAGAGATCATGAAAATAATCATTGCAATCTATTTGATCAAAATTAATTTTATGTGTTACAATACACCTGCATGAACATTTATGGTGTCAAGGACTATCTGCACCACTTGGGGGCCAGAGATTTTTCAGGCCTATAAAGACATTATTGAATCTGGGTTATTTTAGACCCGTGTTATTTTTGCCCTTATGAACAATATAACTGTGTGTTACATAGTGATACTGTAAATCACTTTTTATTCAGGACCCACATGTGTTTTTTCATTTTGCTTTTATGATTAAATAGAGCAATAACCACAATTCATGAAAATGTTGTCTCGCTTAAAAAAGGCTATGGCTATGTCACGAAAATAATGTGCGGCAAAAATTAAGTGATCTACAGTATCACACTTACTTTAGCCATTCGAAGATTTTTTCGCTGAAATTTCACTAGCCCTCTCTCTGGACTTCTCATAAAGTCTTCCTTGGCCCGAGGATACCGGAGAGCTCCTATAATTATTCCAGAGAAGATTGTCACTGGGGCTGCGATACTGAATACATTGTAGAAATCAGCACTAAACTTTGTCAAGGGACTGAAATTAAAGAACAAGGGTAAAACTAATCATTCATGCTTACATGTTTAAAAAATAAATATAATTTATATTATTTTGATTCCAGATTTTGATTTCAAATTTACGTATTGTTCCCTAAATTTAATATATACTATATATATTTTCTTTTTAAATTAATACATACCCCTGAACACATGTTTTAGCCTTTTTTGTAATACCCACTTATAAGCATGATAAACACAATTTAGCCTATATCCCATTCTGGTTTAATACTCACTTATAAGAAAACATATATTTTATCCTATCCCATCCTGTTTCATTTGCGATGAACGCGTCCACCTCTTCATCAGAGATTGGAGAAGACAGGCCCTGGGATACTGGGAATATTGGAGCAAACAATTCATTCCCCTCAGGAGGTTTGTTGTTAAAATATCCTTTCAGCTTTGAAAATATACTCTCCTCTTCTTTGAGTGGTTCTGATGAATTGTTGGGAATTTCTAAGGGTGGTTTGTCACCTGATGCCATGTTTCGCAGAGAATCTAAAACGATGTCATCATCGTAAACATGTTCATTTATTTTTTCATGTGACCAAGTTTATTTGAACAGAAAAGTAATCTAACAGTCACCTGATTTAAGGTAGTCCGATCCTCAGGTTTATAAATTTAGCAGTCAAGTAATCAAAAATACTCATAAAAGTACCTCTGAATCAACAAAGTTATGTAAATTTATCCACAGTATTTCTTTAAAGTTAAAGATTAAAGTTAATCATATTATATAGGGAAAATTGTCAAATCTCAATATTTTTGCAGAAAAAGCGAATTGGAATATCAGCAATGCATTTTCTAATTGTAAATTGATCAATAAATATATTTTAGGTTAAAAAAACAATAGGTATACAGGCATTCAGAGAAATTGTTATGACTTTTATACTTATTTAGTATTTTTTGTCTTCTATTTCCGTCATGCATAGCCATTCTATAATACATAGTGTAAACGGCTTTTTCTATCATTGCAAGACACCACAAATCACTTCTTATTTCATATTATGCTAATAAGCATGGGTATAGGCTGAATTCAATAAAATCTTACTTCTCTAAAACCGTATGATTTTTTTTTTCCTTTTGTATGGTATAAATGTCAGCTTTTATAAGACCTTTTCTAGGACTTCCAAAAACCTTGAATCTTATAAAGGTGAATAAAATGAAAATTGTTGCATGAAAAAATTTCCTTTTCAAGTTTCATTTTGATGCATTTCAAATTAAATATTAATTTTTGGAGTTATCCTTCCTGGCTGAGGATCTCATATCCTTAAACGTTTAAATATTAAGATACTTTCTTATCACAAGTTTTATAACTCCCATCCCCCAAATATTCTTTCTATCAGATTTATTCAAAATGACCTTAAAATGACTTAAATATTGAATTTAATAAATTTTAAAAACCCCTTATCCTTTATTTATTCTCGAGTTATATTTCCTCCTGATCTCTATGTTACAAAAGGAAAGTTTGCATCTGAAGTTCATTTGCCTTTAAAATAATATTTAAGCGAATTATTTCAAATGATAATCCATTCAAACTCCATGTCATTACCTGCTCCCTCTTTTTGTAAGTCATAAAATATCACATCTTGCAGCTTCTTTTAGATAAAAATCAAATAAATGAATCGATGCTCATGGTCCCCGTTCGCATGGCAAGGACACTCGATGTCAAAATAACGCTCTTCGATTATACTCAACCATTGAACAGAAGAAACATTCAAGAGACGAGGATTCGTTGATTATAATAATTAAAACCATGAAAAGTGGACACCTTTTCCCCGAATCAATAAAAAAAATAACTTCCCTTTTTACAGTTTTACATACATGTACAGGTGTATGTACCTCTCCATCAGCAATATCAACACAGCAATAATTTTAGGAGAAATTAATTTTTGTGATTTTTATCAGGGACCTACTTACTAACTTAGTATATAGGTCCCCGTTTTTATTATGTTCCCCAAACGAAGTTGGGGAACATATTGTTTTTACTCTGTTTCTTATTATTATGTTCCCCAAACGGAGTTTGGGAACATATTGTTTTTACTCTGTTTCTTATTATTATTATTTTTTTTCTTATTTGTTCTCCGGTACTTTTTTGTCCGCGAGTGTTCTCAGAAACTGTTCACCCAACTGAGCTAAAACCTTTTTAGGGTTAATAGGTGTGTAGTGTAGGTGTGCGGAACGAAGGTCATTTTGCCCGCATACGCCTGCACGTGCGTGCGCGTGAAATGAGTGAATTGACTGATATACTTAATATAGCTATAACTTTTATGTTTTTTGAACAAATGTTTTGAAACTCATTATATAAAGATATATTAATAGTGTAGATAATATGACACTGTCAAATTAGCACGAACTCACGCGCATGCACGTGCGCTTCGCTCTGATTGGCTGAAACAAAAATTTCAATATCTCTTTTGTTTTTTGACGAAATGCTTTGAAATTCAAAATATAGTCATACATTAGGATATCCTACAACATGATATATAAAAGTTTCATGAAATCACGTGCATGCGCATGCGCTTTAATCTGATTGGCTGAAACTTTAAATGGCTTTATCTCCTCTGTTTTTTGACGAAATGCTTTGAAATTTAAAACATAGTCTTTCATTAGAATATCCTGCAATATGATATACAAAAAATTTCAAGAAATCACGTGCATGCACGTGTGCTGCAATCTGATTGGCTGGAACTTTAAATGGCTATATCTCCTTTGTTTTTTGACAAAATGTTTTGAAATTTAAAACATAGTCTTTCATTAGGATGTCCTACAATACGATATAGAAAAAAATCATGAAATCACGCGCATGTACGGGTGCTGCAATCTGATTGGCTGAAACAAGAAATGGCTTTAACTCCCTTATTTTTCAAACAAACAGCATGGGATTTAGAATACAGATAGGTATAATGGACTCCTACAAGATAGTGTGGTCAACATGCACGTGCACGCACGTGCGTGCATTTAGAACGAGTGAAGTTAATAATACACTTGAATGAGTGATTTTTAATACTTTTGGACTGAATGCTTTCATATTATAGTATATCAAAATATATAGATAGTGTAGACAAGATGATATGGTCATAACGCACATGCATTCACATGTGCACGGGTGCAATGCTAAAATTTGAATGTAATTGGTATTCTTCTGGGGAAACGTTGTTAAAGTCAAAAGTGCACAGTGTTTGTCTTTGTTTATTTAATGAAGCTTACAGAGGATATGGCACCAAAAGGAAGTTGGGGAGCGTTTGGGGAACATCTGTAACGGTTCCCGTTACAATTAGCACTAGTTATTATTATTATTATTATTTTTCTTCTTCCTGGGAAAATCTTTTCCGCGAATGATCTTGTAAACTACACATTTGATTAAGGTGAAACCTTTTTAGGGTCACTAGGCATGTTATGTAGATTTGCGGAACGAAGGTCATTTTGCGCGCACGTGCTTGCAAGAACGTGCACGCGCAACACGTGAAATGACCAATTTAATGAATATAGCCGTATTTTTTTCAATTTTTGATGAAATGCTTTGAAACTCAAAATGTAAGGATATATAAGTAGAAAAGACAAGAGGACATAGTCAAAATAGCAAGATCTCACGCGCATGCACGTGCACTTCCATCTGATTGGCTGAAACTAAAGTCTCAATATCTTTCTTGTTTTTTGACAAAATCCTTTGAAATTTTAAACATAGTCATAAATTAGGAAGATATACAGCATGGTATGTAAGAATTATACTGAAAGCATGTGCATTCACGTGTGCTTGCAAGAGCACGCACGTGCAACACCAGAAATGTCCAATATAATTGATATAGACGTAACTATTTATATTCTTGATGAAATGTTTTGAAACTCATAATATAAGGATATATTAGAAGCATAGACAAGAGGACATGGTCAAATTAGCAAGATCTCACGTGCATGCACGTGAGCATCGCTCTGATTGGCTGAAACTAAAGTCTCAATATCTTTCTTGTTTTTCAACAAAATCCTTTGAAATTTTGAACATTGTTATACATTATAAAGATCTGCAGCATGGTATATAAGAATTATCACGAAAAGCATGCGCATGCACGTGTGCTGCAATCTGATTGGCTGAAACTTTAAATGTCCATAACTTTCTTAGTTTTCAACGAAACGGGATACAATTTAGACTATAAATAGGTATAAAAGATTCCTACATAATTTTCCTATCAAAATGAATGTACGAACAGGCATTCATGCAAGTGCACGCGCGAAATACGCAAAATGGCCAATTTAAAAAAAAAAGTAAAATGACAGTTATATATTGAAAAGAATTTTTTTAAATTTATTCTCACGATACATAGATATTTTATTGTTTAGACATCATCATCATGCCATATTCATCTTGCATGTGCATGCACGTGCGTGCACGTACAATGCGTTAAATGACATATAGTTGATGTCATTGTAGCTTTTATAATTCTTTGATGAAATCCTTCGATACTGATAATATTTTTAAAAATGTCTTACCGGAATTTGGCACAAAAAGGGATTTGGGGAGCGTTTGGGGAACATCTGTAACGGTCCCCGTTACAATTAGCACTAGTTATTTTTTTATAAGAATAAGAAATTACACAAAAAGTTATAGTCTTTATAGGATGGACAATACTGATCCACAACGGAAGTTTTATAATTAAACAATAATTGTTTATATGTCATATATACAGAGTTATGAATACGATGTGAAAACTCTTCTTTTTTAGGTCACCTGAGTAACTCAGGTGACCTACTGCTATCCGTTTTCGTCCGTCGTCGTCGTCGTGCGTCGTCCGTCGTCCGTTAACATTTGAACATTTTCAGCTTCTTCTCTGAAACCACTCAGCCAATTTCCACCAAATTCGGTACACAGCATCTATGGGTGAAGGGGAACAAAAATTGTGAATTTTATGCCCCCGGGGCCTGAGAGTGGGGCCAAAACCACCAAAATTATTGCAATCTTTAAAAATCTTCTTTACTCCTGGCCATCAAGCAGACAAACTGTTGGCATGAATGTGATGAGCATGGAGTCCTCTACCATTACCATAGTTATGTTGAGCAAGAGTGCCTCTTCCAAAATTGTGAATTTAATGGCCCCAGGGTCAGGGGTTCTGGTGTTAGGGCGGAGCTCTATTGATCATAAAGTGAAAATGCATTTATTCTTTGAAAATCTTTTCCTATGCTCCTGGGTTGTATGCCAATGATCAAAGTATATATATTTATGATGAAGAAAGATGCATCTAGCAAAATGGTTATTTTTATGTTCCCTGGTTCAGGGGGGTGTGGTGGGAAGGGGGTACATAGTCTGAAAATAAATTAATGCTTTTAAATCTGCTCTTTAGTGTTAATCAACCATTATATGATCAAATTTGCAAAATTTTGAAATATGTAGCCCCAGGGTTAGTGGTTCCTTTGGGGTGAGGTGTACAACTGGTTATAAAGTGGAAGTGCATTTTCTCTGATCTACCTCTGGGTATTAAGGGGGGACCTATGTCCGAAAAGTCTTTGTGTGAAATTTTCAAAACTTTGACATTTCTTTCCTAACCACTTTATCTTAATTTTTAGGTATTAAAAACAATACCTTTATATGCTTATTTTTACACAGGAGCACGTGCAAAAACAGTGTGAAATGCTAAAATTAGATTATTTTCAGTCATTATTGTTCTACTCAAATATGTGCTAAAAAGAACCAAAAATGTCAAATCACATTCGAAATCAACATGTATTTAATTTATATGACTTGTATCTTTAAAATGAAGGCAAATTCATTGTAATTCATCTCGCATGAAAAATTATAAAGGAGCACAATGTAAATATCACCCCGGTTTTTTTGTCGTATTTTTTACAATTCTGACATACATAACAGGTAATATCTTAAAAAGTCTTTGTGTGAAAATGTTGTAATTTATATTTTTTGAGAGAACTGACCCCTCTCTTTAATTTAACAAGGAATAAAGTATACCTTTATGATAAAATAAACGAGAAATATGACGTTTTCTTTTATTTTCATACTCTTCTGTCATAAATATTGACCTTTCTGCACTAAAAAAAAGGTAAGTTAGCACTGACAAACATCTGAATATAAAACTATTTTGCAAAAAATGAGTATTTTGTTTTGATAAGAAATAATTTAAACTGATAAACTATTTTCTTCTTCATTCTAATCATTCTGCCCCCCCCTTCCCTGTCAACAACCAACACCTAATAGAACCTAGGAATGACTTTATACAATAAAATCTACATGCATTATAAATCAATAAGTAAATATAGGTACAAGTAATATTTCTTAATTTTTTCTTAGTTTTATCCAGAAAATACAATTAATGGTAATCAAAAAATTAGACATATTTCCCTAATTTAAGCCGCTGTCTTTTCTGAATTTTATCATATTTTTTGCAAATTTCTATATCAGCATATCATAGAGGTATTTCTTCACAAGTGAAATTGCTATGAATTATCAACCAAAGGAAGAGAATTCTGATATTAACAAACTCCATAAATCAAATAAAAATGTTTTAATTGATGAAAAAAATTTCTTTTTGTAAACTGTGTACGTTTTTGATTAATAACAATGTTATGCCTATGATCACAGTTGCAAAAGTCAGCGGGAAAAAAAAACAAACGTCGCTATTGTGACGTCACATAACGCTGCTTTGACGTCGAACGACATAGGTCCCCCCTTAAGTAA